TCCACGTAGTGTAATTTATTTCTTTGATATTCTTAAAACAACGTTTTAAATAACTAAGAGTTGAAGGTTATGTATTACATATTTTAAATTTAAATGTTGAAATAAATAAAAATTTTAAAAAAAATTATCTCTTATTATATATCTTATCATTCAACTTATTAAAAAAATTTATCACTTTAATGATTGATTCACTCTGATCTAATGATATGGATTCTGATTTAGAATCATTTATTTCTTGTGAATAACGTATTCGAATTTCACATGATATTTTTTTCATCTCTCAATTAACACATGTAGATAATTACAATTTATTAAAAAAAATCACTTTGATAATGGGTTAGAAACAATGGGTCAGAAACAATGGATTGGACGTGCAAATGGAATGCAATGGACCAACTAATAAAATTATCCTTATAATAATTTTAGGTATTTTATAATAAAAAAATAGTGTTATTTAATTAGAATTATTATATATTTATGTTTTACAATTTAATATATTTATATTAAATTGTAATAAAAAAAAACCTCTTTTGTAATTATCTAATAAGATAGTGTACTTTTAACTTAGATGATAAGTCAGTGGATAAGTGGTAGTTGAACACATTTTTCCAACTAATAATTAAGGAGTAGGTAGACAGCTTATCTAATTCGGCATAAAGCCGACATTTTTGGGGAGTGTTTGAATGGGCGCTTGGTTAATAATTATCAGTTGTTGGATTCAATCAAAACGGATTAAATATTTTAATTTTAAATAATAATAATTATTAATAATTAAATATTAATTATCAACTGTTAATTATTTTTAAAAAGTTAATCCAAACACATATTTAGAGCATGTTTGGTGAAATTTGAAAGAGTTTTTACTTTTTTTTATTGTTTATGAGTGATAATTTTAAATTTTTATTGGATGAAAAACTCAAAAATTACTTTTATAAATAAAAAAAAGTGAGTAAAAGTGAGTAACAAAGAAATTTATAAAAAGCACAAATTTGAAACTTTTCAAAATTTATTGTTTAAGGTTTTTTTTAATATTAAAAAGAAGTTAAAAAATATAAGTTTTTAAGAGAAAAATTTTAACTTATAAAATATGAATAATATCAAAAAATTGAAGATTTTACAAGTTTTACCAAACATACTTTTAATAACATTAGTATCTAGCTGTTATGCAAACTAACTAATCTTAAGGACATTAAGCAAAAACCTGCCAAAATTACTCTCTTTTTCTCTCTTTTTTTTTTTTAATCAAAATGGTATCCAAAGATTTGAACTAGTATTTCTTAGTGTGTGGATATATGGGTTAATCTATCTTGCACCTTGTGTAATAATAATTATTTTTTATCTTAAAAATGATAAAGTTAATTTTTTATTTTAATTATAAATATCATGAGTTAAATTTTGATCGGTTAATTTCAAATTACAAATTATAAGTTATTTTTTAATATAAAATTTTTCTATTTTCAAAAAAACAAAATCATAATTATTATTTAATATTAACTTACTATCTTATACTTTCAAGATACAAAATAAATAAACTTTATATATATATAACTATTTCGTTCACTAGTAATTCATGATATCATTCATAAAAGAAGTGGGGATAATCTTTGGAGATAGAGATAGAAGTAAATTAAGACAGTTGACATTTCTCATTTAAGTTCCCAACTGACTCCCATGTCCTGTCCCCCACGTTTTGAGTGACGCCAATAATACATATCCACCCAATGACTGGTTTTGACATTGATTTGTTTATGAATGGGGCAGGTCCATCAATTTATTGGGTCACTCTCAAAACAGAGGCATCACTTCAAATTCAAGTGGACGCTTCGTGCTTACCAAATCACATTTTGAAATGGGCCTAAAAGGTACTTTTTCTAAATATCCTCTGTTTCCCACACATTCACAACTCACAGGTGCATTCTACATTGCATACATACTTATATTTGGGGTTTGGAAAGGGTAGGATTTTCAACAAATCTTCCAACTTTTTTGTTAGATTAGATGGAAAAGTTTTCAGTATCATTCTATCGGTTTACATAATAGGTAGGTTATCGATGATGAGAAAAATATATGAATATATATATATATATATATAGCATGAAAGTTTTGAAATAATAAAACAAAGGGAATCAAGTCTTTAGGTCCAAGTGATTCGTCCCTAATTCTTAAGGCGTTTGGATTAGTTGAAAACCCCCACCAATGCCTTAAAAAATCTCCCTCCCCCAATCCCCCAAATTGTAAATTGGTCAAAAAATAAAATAAAATAAAAATAAAAAAACAAAGGAAGCACTCATAAATCTAGTCTAGCTAAAAGATTGGGGGATTGAAATGCATTACTAATATTCACAATCTTACTTTGGTGAGTAGTAAATAGTAAAACATCATTAACAAGCACTTTTCAAACTAAAGGAGTCATCTATAAAACCCTAATAATTTCATTCAACTTCGTCCTTCCAACAAGTACAAGTTTTTGATGAGATAAATGACAGTTGAATTCACATGTTGAATATGGCCTGAAAGAGATGCTAGAACTCAGAATCAGGATGATGATAAGAGGTCAAAATGGAGCAAAGGGTCTAAAATCAAATGAGAGCCTTACTTTGGGTGTTGAGTCAAATCACATTTTAAACCACTTTGGCTTGGCTGGTTTTTTCTCAGCAGGCTTGGACTCTTGAGTAATGGAGGAGGGACCTGAACTACCAGCTGTGGTTTCTGGTGCAGATTCAACACGCTCTGCTTGCTCAGTGATGACTTCAAAGCCTTTGAAGGACATGACCTCTTCTTTAAGGAACGGCCCTGAATTGGCAGCTGCTGCTGCTCCAGCATTACCTGAACATTTAAAAATGTTATATCAGTCGATGATGTATCATTACTGCATAAGGCAAAATAATGCAAATGAGATTATGGAGCAAACCAAGCACACACATTAAGAAGGAGTTAGTCAATAACTTTACTCAGGTAGCTTGATTCAACTAAAACATGCATTTAGCATTTAACCCAGTGTTAACAAACTGAAAACAGAGGTAACAAATATAATATGACTATAAAGGACTGGGACATAAAGTCAAAAACCACTGGCACTGCAAGTAAGACACAACACTCGAGAAGAATTGTAATTTGCATTTGAAGGCATGCCCTAACCTTTTGGCAGATCATAGGAAAAATATACAATTGCACCAGGAACAAATCCAGCAGAGTAAAAATCCTGTGACATATCTTTTATTTGCTTCTTGGGAGGAGTAGTATCTGAAACATTATCAAATGCAAGTTATGATACCAACATGAGTATTAGATAATTGTAACAAATGTATTATAATGAAACAGGCTTACATATGTAAAAAGGTAAATCTGGTTGAGCCAGCACTTTCTTGAGAAGGTCAACCAAGCTGTTAATGGTCTCTGATGGATGAAATGTGACCTCTAATGTGTGATTATCAGGAAAGCGAACCCTAATAACAGCCTGCATATGAACACATATGGCATACCCTTAACAGAGAGGTCAAACCAGAGTCCTCAGAAAGCTAAATTTAAGATTCAGAAAACATAAAAGACAAATACTTAATCATCAGGATCTAGCTTCTAAGCACTCAAAACATACAGATAAGCAATAGGATTATAAAGGACCAGCAAGAACCTTAGTCATTCTTGACCTGCGAGCTGCCTCTTCTGCTTCTCTGATTTTTCTTGTCTTCAAATATTTATCTGTTAATGCTTCAAGCCACATTAATATATGTAGACATATAGTCTAAAATTAACTTACAAAAATATATCTAAAGCCAACTGAAAGCTCATGCTTGTCTTTTCCTCCATCAAAGTTACTTATACATAATAGTCAAGAACAGTAGTACCTTCCTTTTTAGTTGCCAAGAGCCGATGGTAGTCTTCTGCAGTGAACTCATAGAAATCATCTGGCTCATCTGCTATAAAAACAATAAAATAAAATAAACTAATTTATCAATGCCTCCAAACAATGATGACAATACCTAGTAGGCAGGCAACTTAAAAGTTAAAAGTCTGAAAGTCTTTTGGCAGCTCATACCAGTAGTTGATGCTCCATTTGACACCTGAGAAGGGGCTATAGTTTCAAAAACACGAATTTCTCGTCCAAAAATTTCCTTCATAGCAGCGAGCTTGGCCTGATAGCATTTAGAGAAAGTCAAATACAAGCATAGAAGAGCATAATCAGGAGGAGCCTTGTGTGAAGACTGGCTTGTCAAATTCATTATGTAAAGAAGAACAGTGTTTCGCACCAAGAACTAAACATCTAAGGTATTATGAAGTCAGTATTGCACAAGAAAAGCTCGTCCAAGGGCCTGGATCAGATTCCCAATGATTACTGATAGAATAGATTGTCATTCCACATTAATCCTCTTCCTTAGATCAAGCTTTGGATTTATATGTGGTGCTCAAATAGCCAAGGCTACAAATCCACTTTCACAAACATCTAACTTTAATACAAGCCATGGTGCCCTTTTAACTAACGGAAATACAAGTATAAAAATTTCATAAGGGCCTCCTGTTACTTAATTACCAACAATTGTTATATTGCATTTGGTTCTTTCAAGCCTACTTTAATTAGGATTCATAGGGTCATCTTCCCCTTCATCTTTACATCCAAGACCTGGTATCCTACAATAACAATTCCAAACACAAGAAGAGCACCACTTTTACAATAAATCACTGAATAACGGCAAGCACAAGCGTGAAAGGTGGATACTTCTCCCAAATAGGATAGTGGAGTTAGGCTTCCAAACGAATTTAAAAGACAAAACCACATCAGAACGCCTCAGGATTTTAGACGTGTATCTTCTTCTTTGACAAAACCGAACTATCAATTAAACAAAGTTGCTAACTAAGAACAAATTACCAGAAGGAAAAGGCACCAGTCCCACAACAAGAATCAAGGAAACCGAACAATAAACCCAACATCAGAAGCACGAAATTGAACCCAGGACACCCATCAAATCTATAAAGGTGCATTGAAGAAGATAAGTAAACGAGGAAGTATACAACATAGCCTAATTAGCTGGTTCATCCAGACCGAATCAAGAAAAACCCGAAATCGAAACCCAAAACCCAGAAAAACCCATCACCAGAATAACGAAATTGAATCCAGGAAACCCATCAAATCTATAAAGGGTGCATTGAAGAAGGTAAAGAAACAAGGAAGTATACAACATAGCCTAATCAGCTGGTTCATCCAGACAGAATCAAGAAAAACCCAAAATCGAAACCCAAAACCCAGAAAAACCCATGACCAGAATCACGAAATTGAATCCAAGAAATCCATTAAAGCTAGAAATGGACTTTAAAGAAGGTAAATTAAGTGAGAAAAAACGATAACAGACCTTAGATAATTCAGCCTCCATGGGATCAATGCTCGTGAGTCTCCTCCTCTTCAAAGAAAGCGGCCAAGAAGTATCCCCAAACATTTAGAAAGGGGAAAGGAAGATTCTTGCGTTTTTATTTTCTCTGATATTCATATATATTTATATGCTTATCCTCCTTCCGTGTTTTGTTTTCCTTTCTTGTGCCACCTTGTTTGTTTGCATGTTCATCCTTTCCCAGTTTTCCTCCTCCCAACTGCGATCGCACGTGCCAAGATTTTTTTGCAAAGGTGCCATGTCTTGGGCCTGGGCCTCAGCCTGGGCCTGGCCGGAGCAGGGCGTTAAGCTGAGGGTAAGACGGCCCGTTCCGGTTTCAGAGTTCAAACGCATCCATACCAGAATCCAAACCCAAACAGGTGTTTTTTTTTTTTTTTTTAAAGCATATTGACCTAATTATAATATGTCTGAATTGAGAGGAAAAAAAATATAATTAATTAAATTATAATATTTTAAAAATATTAAAAATCTTATAATTTAATTGATTAAAAAACATTTTCATTCTTTCCCTTTCTCTTCATTCTTGTCTATTTGGTTTGAGATGAGAGGGGATAAATTTATTATAATTGATTAAATTATTTTCGTTGATTTAATAACTTAATTTGATTGTTTGAAATAAAGTCATTTTCCCTCTCCTAATATTTTCTTTGCTTTGTTCCTTTCAAATCAAATAAATTAATAGTATATTTGAGTTGATGAGAATGAAAATAACGAGAGAGTTAACTAATTAAATTAAAATATTTTTAAATATTATAATTTAATTAATTAAAAAATCTTTTCTCACCCTCCTCTCCCATTCTCCCTCCTTCATTTTCTTTAAACCAAATATACTTAAGGTAATAGTAAATTTTAAACTTCTTTCTTTTTATTTAATTTTGCAATGATGGGTTGTTTTCTCACATTATGTAATGAATAGAACATTATGTCCTTTTAAAAGCAAGGGACATGATAAAATGCAATGAACATAATGATGGAAAACATGTTTAAATTAGAAGAGTTTAATACAGCCACCATCACTCACCAAACACAATCTTAAGTCACACGTACCTCTGCTTCCAGTCATCCCCATGCCTTCTCCCAATGACTGAATTGACTCTCAAGCTAAGCAAATTAAAGGAAATCTTATTAGCTACTAGTTTCATTCCTTCAGTTACCTCGTTTTTTATGTTCAACCATTGTGTTCTTCTTTTTCTTCTTTTTTTTTTATTCTCCTTACCAAGGCATATCAATCACAAAATGCATCAAATGCAAATTCGATAATAAACTTGTAAATTGTAATATCTAAACAATTATATTATAAATTATTATGGTACGATTGCAATAGTTTTCACAAAATAAAAATTCAAAAAAACTGTTATACAAAGTGAATAGTATATAAAAAAACTATCTTATAGCCTGCTCTGTTATGAACTGTAAAATCAAGACCATAAAAAAAAGTGGACTCTTAATATTGAGCTCACTTCCCCTCCTTTTTTATGGTCATGATCTTACGGTTCGCCACAAGGATTGTAACACAGCAGCCTCATAATATGTAATTGATTATGTAAAATAATTTAAATATTTATAATAAAATAATATAAAATTAAAATATTTAAATAATTTTATAAAACAAATTATATACAATGTATCTTAGAAAATAATTTTTTCATAAAAATTTTCAAATAATTTTTTTTTATATTGGTTACATAATGAGAGATAAATCTCTCTCATCTTTTTATTTTATGCCATTTCGTATGACATATAATTCAAATTCAAAGTTATTTATTTTCACAAAAAAAAATTATTATTAAATTATTCAAAAATCAATAATTTTCAAATAAATTTTAAATCTAAACTTTAACATTTATTCGCACCGTACATAAATCCTTTGCGTACAAGCTCTGTTATCTAAAAGCCAGAAAAAAAAAACGTACTCAGAAACCCAGAATCTTATATAAACTAATAATAAGACCCCCACAAAACGTCCCAGCTGAGACCACCAATTTGAAGCCGACATGATGACCGCCGGCGGGCAGCGCACGTTAGTACCCGTTCAATGTTTCTCAAGGAGCGCAGGTTAGCATTGGTCCCCTTTTCTTTCTCTCTCAATTCAAAACGGCTAAACGTGACTCCTTCAGTCCTTCCCGGGCCCATTTCTAATTTTCAAACAAACCCCTCAACTTTCCTCCAAATTTAAAATCTGACCCCGATTCAAACCCACCCCCTCCCCCAAAGATTTCCATTTACAGTCCTCCTCCGGGGAAAGGAGAGGAGAGCAGAGCAGGAAATCCGAGGATCGGAGGAGGAGATTTGGGAAGCCATGACAATGGACAGAGAGAAGGAAAGAGAGTTGGAGTTGGAGAGTGCAATGTACACTAACTGCTTGCTCTTAGGCTTGGATCCGTCCGTAATCGGTATCGGAGTTGCCAATGGTTCTCCTCGTGTCGGACTCTTCCGCCACTCCAACCCTAAATTGGGCGAGCAGCTCCTCTACTTCATCCTATCCTCTCTTCGCGGCCCTGCTCAATCCGCCAGAGTAACTACTTCCTCCTTCTCTTTCAGTCCACTCGTATACATACGCAAAGTATATTTGGTTTTGGTTTTGGTTTTGATGTTTGTTTTTGTTTGGATCTCTTAGGATTTTGATAGGGTTTGGCCGATTTTCGACTCTGCGCAATCTCGTGATTTTCGAAAGGTGAATTTAATTGAGAATTTGTTTATGTATTTTAATTTTCGGATTATGTGTTCTTGTTTGGGGTTTTGCTTTTTCTAATTGTTTCTGCAAATTTCATTATTAAGGTTGTGCAAGGGATTATCAGCGAGCTTGAAGCTCAAGGGGCTCTTCCAAGGAGTAATTCAAGGGTTTCATCGCTTGCTACGTGCTGTGGAACGAGGTTGGTCGGCTGATTTGTTGTTGTATTTCTCTATTCCTTTGTAACATTCTATGTGATTTTTGTTGATATTGAGAAGTTCTTTTTTGTTTCTGATTGCCAAGAAAACTTTTCAAAATCAAGTGAAATAGGATCATGAATAATCAGGTTATACCGAAATTTGCATTTTGTACTTGTCCTAGCTAATTTAAGCAGTTGAGGGTTTAGTCTATGATTAATGTATTTCGCAGTTGTATAATGCATGTTTTCATTCAGTATTGGTCATGTCTGCTCCAACTTATTGGGAAGACCTTGGTGTTTTACAGATTTGTTGAACTTTTGTGGCAACTTTCTTTGCATGCATTGAGAGAGGTTCACAGAAGAACTTTTGCAGCTGATGTAGCTTCTAACCCACTGCCTGCACCTCTGACAGATGTTGCTTTTTCACATGCAGCTACATTACTTCCTGTGACAAAGGTAGTTCTCATTTATAACAGTACATTGCATGGTTTTTGACTTTATTTATTAGTGTGAAGACTATTAATTTGATCTTTAGTAAAACTGAAGTTAAATGAGATGCTTATCTTAAACAGGCTAGAATAGCACTTGAAAGGAGGAGGTTCCTGAAAAATGCTGAATTAGCAGTACAGAGACAGGCTTTGTGGTCAAATTTGGCACATGAAATGACAGCAGAGTTTCGTGGTCTTTGTGCTGAAGAGGTAAAAAAATAGACAGGCATCCAATGCGTTTTCAAGGATTTAGGTTGAATTCAATGTCTCTTTCTTTCTTTTCTGTTTGAGGCTGGGGGGAGGGGTGATGCAGTTGAAATGTTCTTGATCTCAGTTGAAATTTGCTTTATCTTTATCCAATGATGCTCTTTCAAATATTGGATCTCAGGCTTATTTGCATCAAGAGTTGGAAAAATTGCATGACTTGAGGAACAAAGTCAAGTCAGAAGGGGAACTATGGGATGATCTTGTATCAACTTCGAGTCAAAATTCTCATTTAGTTTCAAAGGCAACTAACTTGTGGGAGTCTATACTAGCTCGTAAAAGTAAGCTGCAGACTTCAAGTCAGAGTGTCCATTTAGTTGAATTTATTAGCTAGTTGGTTACAAGGTTCCTTGAAATGTTATTTAGATAATCTACCTACGTTGCTCTTATTCCTCATCTATTTTGTTATAATTCCTGGGTGTTGGACATGATTTGATTTCCATAATTAGAGATTGCTGCCTTTGAATGAAAATATATTTTTCCATTGCATGTTATATGAATGAAAATTTATTTCTGTAAGTACCTGCAGGCTCCTTATTGCATTTTGCTCAATCAATTCCTGTGCTGAACTCTCATGAATGATATGGTTCTTGCAAACTTGGTGTTAATTTTTGCTTTGCCCATCTTGCTTTATTTTTCACATGTTCCACATTTAACAGGGTTGGTTTCCCAAATTTGCTTGTTTTGATTTTGTTAACAGTTGTATTACTTGACTTTTTTAACAGGTCAGCATGAAGTTCTTGCTTCAGGCCCTATAGAGGACTTGATTGCTCATAGGGAGCATAGGTAATTTACCACTGCATTGGCATTTTTGATATTTTCTTATGGCAGTCTTCCACTAATCTACTTATGATTTACTAATTTTCAGGTACCGCATTTCTGGATCATCTTTGCTTGCAGCAATGGATCAGAGTTCTCAGGTCCCTCACACAGATGTCTTATCTGTCCAGTCTGGTGATTTGGATGGCAAAGAACAGAATGATGGATACCACACACAAGTGAATGAAGAAACACTTTCTCAGGTGGATGACAGAAGTGGGAAAGCCCACCAGACAGTCGATGTGGCTGAAATTATTAGGCGTTGGACACATGCATTGCAGCGTATACATAAACAATCAATGCAGCTGGTATGTCTTGTTCTTTGTGCTTGTTTTGCCATCTCCCTTGTGCTTGTTTTTATGGTTATTTTCTCATCAATGGCACATTCAACTGCATAATCTCTACATAGCATTTTCAATGTTGTTAATGTAGAATTCTGGATGGTGTTAATACAACATGATATTAGTGATCTAATAACAGCTCTTTTGCTGTCTAGGCAAAAGCTAATGATGGAGAGGGTCCAGATATTCTGCGAAGTTCACAAGATGGTGGTCCTAGTGGCCATGCTGAGTCCTTAGCTGCAACTCTTGCTGAACATCAGCAACACCTTGCTAGCTTTCAGGTAGAACAGCTAAAATTTGGTCAAACAAAAGTTGGTTATGTATTTCAGGACATCAGAAAGTTTGATTGTTTTTAAGGTTTGAGAAGGGATGGGAATTCATTAGTTTAATTTCTTGTGTGCTTGGCTGCTGCCCCCTCCACCCCCCCCAAAAAAAAAAAAAAAAAAAAAAAATGACATTATTCCAACATGCTGAAAATGTTTTCTATTTAAATGCTTTTCATGTGCAGGTGCTCATTAACCAACTGAAGGAAGTTGCTCCAGCAATACAGAATTCAATATCAGAATGTACAGAAAAAGTAAATAGCATTTCTGCCAACATGCCTTCTGTGACCAGACATAGAGGTCAAGCGACATCGACTCTTCAATCTCAGAGCAGTGGAAGGACTCTGGTAGTTGTTCAATGATTTTTTTCTTTTCATGCAAAGCATTGAAATTACTTTTTAGAATTTGATAATTACATTAGTAGAACTGATGATTCCTTTTTCTTTTTTGAATTATTCAGGAACGTAGCACAGGTGATGTTTCTGATGTAACTTCAAAAATGTCTACCATTCAGCTTGACAAGGTGTCAGCTGGTTCTCCAGCTTTGAAGCTCCCACAATTATTTAGTTTGACCCCAAACTCTACGGGGAAAGGGGGAAATGTGCAAAAGCGAAGCAGTTCAGCTTCTCAGACCACCCAAATGGAAAATTTGTCTGAAAGGAGTTCTGTGGACCAATCTTTGTCAAATAAATGCCTCAGTAACCTTCCCCAAGGTTTGCCACTCTTTTTTTTCTCACTGCATGCCATGCTTTAAGCTTGGGGTTTTGGCATTTCATTTAACAAATTGGTTATTAATTGCTTTAGTCAAAGATTTTGATTATTAGTTTTATATGTTGCAGATAGTGATAATTCTTATGTTTTGAACTTAAAGAGATCTGTACGGGAAGCTGCTCTGTCAGTGCTATCCTCTAATTCAGAATCATCCCAAGACAGTCACTCTGATGGAAGTTCTGAACACTATTTTGTGCCTATTTCATCAGCTAATTTTTCTCAGGTGCGTCCAGAAAATAAAGGCACCTCCATAAGGAGTAAGAAACTGTTTTCATCTCAAACAGACAATTCCTTGCTTGACAACCACCCTCATGATGATCATACAAGGGGCAAGTATGATGACTTGCCAGAGATCTTGAGTAATTTGGATTCACTGCATGATTATGATCAAGTAAATGGATTTTTATCAGCAGCTAATTCAAATCACGCAGCATCTTCTGATGCTGAAAGGCCCTTTTTTGACGTGGAAGATTCTCATGATCAAGTGTTCTCCCCTCCTTTGTTAATGGACACATCCCTGTTAACTGATTCTTATGAGGATTTGCTTGGTATGTTGGCTAATCCTGATACTATTTAATCTTAGTTGTCAAATTGCATCTTTATCCTTAAACTCTTTGCCAGATGATATGAAAATATGTGTGCCTCTAATAACATTTTGAATGTTTATTTCTCAACTGGTAACTCCAGTTTCTATGATAATTTCTTAACACATGAAATCTTGGAATATTTGCATGGTAGACTTTTTGAGTGATTCAACCCTTTTAGCCTCATAACTGTTTGTATGGTTTTTCACCTTTTTACCTTTTCCTCTCAGTTTGCCGTTGTTTCTAAGTTTTTTAGTTTGTTTCTGCAGCTCCACTTTCAGAAACTGAGACTGCCTTGATGGAGCATTGAAACTAAAGTTAGACGATGATACTCCGATGGTTTTGTTTTTGGTCCTTGGTTGAGATGGACGGTACTATCCCACTGATTTGCTGTATTACATGATGCTTGTATGTAGTTCGTCCCTTTCTGAACGTCCTACTCTTCCATCAAGCACAATTGACATCTCTGAGCCAATTGGCCCTGTTTTCATGCAGCCAGAGACTGTAATAATCTGTCATACAGCGAGTTGGTTCTGACAATTGGGGAGCCAAAACTAACAACCTGACACCATTTCCTTGGTATAAAGAGGACACATTTAATGCTTGGGAGTGTGAGACACTGGATTCTTGGACGTGCAATTCTCTGTTTGTCAATGTTAGGTACGAATACCATAAAACCTTGTATCATCTTGTTTAACTCACGAGATTGGGTATGGTAGCTGGGGCAGATATATTGTAACAGTATCAGCTGTGATGTCTTTCTATCAGCTGGCATTTTGATTGTGTATTCCACTGATAGAACATCAACAAGAAACAATCACTTTAATGA